TTGTAGGTTTCATATTCCTTTCTTTTAGCTATTGAATGCATTACACAGACCTAAAAAGGCTGCGAATCGTCAATAAATAAATAAATTCAGTACATCTAATACCCCTTCCACACGACACAATTTGATTGCCAATCTGATTGCCGATTGAATTCGGTACAATCTGGTCGTCCGTCTACACATACACAACAAGATCGCCAATTTCAGTTTTATTTGTTGCCTCTGCTGAACGGACTTGTTTGTATTAGGATGCCTCTTACCAAGAAGCAAAAAATTGGATTAATCTTGGCTCTAACTACAAATGTAGATGAGAAAAAAAGAAAAAGAAGACTGTGGACAAAACAATGGTTATTAAATAGAAAGCAATTGAGGCACTTAATTGTAGTTATATTATATTTAAGTGACTCAATTAATAAACTTAAATATAGTTATACTAAAAGAGTAATATTTTTAAAGAAATTATAACTAGAAAAAATTCCACGCGGACCAGGCAGCAGACGGGACTCGAACCCCTTCGAAAAACCCTTAAAATATAACAGAGTTATATTTTCTTTAGATTTAAACATCAAGCAGTTACATGCTTTAAAAATAATAAAAATTATAACTATAATTGCTATTTCTTCGTTCAAATGTTTAATACTTGTAAAAGTATTCATTTGACATTGTGGGTTACCTATAATGCGAAGAGATAGCGCTGCCTTGCAACTTAAGAATGGCTGGAAGAATTTCGACTCGGTCCGTAAGGGCCGCGGTAGCATAATTGGTCAGTGCATTCGCCCGGATTGCGAAGGGTGCGGGTTGGAGTCCCGTCTGCTGCCGTGTCCGCGTGGATTTTTTTCTAGTTATATTTTCATTAGATTTAAAAAATAAAAATTATAAAAAAATATATATAATATTATTTCTTTTTTACCCCAGCATGCGCGCATATCATTGAGTAGAATATAAATTTATTTAAATGATTTTTTATTTTCAATAACAAATAACTGCCTGGTCCGCGTGGAATTTTTTCTAGTTATATTTTCTTTAGATTTAAACATCAAGCAGTTTCATGCTTTAAAAATAATAAAAATTATAACAGTAATATTTTTATCAATATTTTTCCACTTATTCCGCAAAATCTCTAAGGGATTATGCCTTGCTTGTTTATTTTTATATAATGGGTTAGATACATCCCAAAGGCATGGCAAGTCTTTACATAAATCTAAAATCCCCTCCATTACTTCCCGTTCAGATCGAATAGACATAATATTGTCGTCATGTTGCTCCATCTTCTTCTCAAAAGACAAGTCAACGCACACACCTGCTCTGAACGCCACTTGCACAGTGACTACGTTAAAAAATTGGCCAGTTAGCGTCCACACCACCCAATTTGATTGGGCAATCCCAAATCGGGCGATACCGACCATCCAATGACCTTCAATTTCATATTTCCGTCCACACAACACAATTCGATTGTCAATCTAATCAAATTGGACGTAAAATTGTATCGTGTGGAAGCCATTTAACCCGTTAAAACTAGTTTTATTTAATGAGTGATGTGCGTGAAAACCTAAGAAAACAAATACTTGCAAAAATATCATGCACTCAAGTAGTAAAGTGCCACCACTAACACATTTAATTAAGTGCTTGATATCAGTGTGCTTAAGTACCTAAATAATAAATTAAATTTAGTTAATAGTTAAATTGTAACATTAGGTGTTAATTTAACTACTAACTTACATACTTATATCGAAATTATTTTAGCAAAATTTGGATACCACTAATAAAGAAAAGTACCGAAATTTAGCTCAAGCGAAATCATTCTCCAATTCCAATCGAAAGCTCCGCGACACAGCCGATTGCGCAGACAGACGACACCCCTGGGACCACGACTTAGCACAGCCCGTACCGTCTACCTACAGTGTGCTCGTAGTGGCAACACTTTTTCCAACGAACATAAATCAAACGTGTCGCAAACATTTCGTTACATATCCACTTTAAGAGAAAATCTGTGCTTGTATTCCTAAACGCTAAAGAATTAATATTTTCTTCCTTGGAGCATTCTTGTCGGTTCAACGTTCAACGGTTCAAGAAATAGTGTGTGTAAGTATAAGTTTTCAAATGTAATTTTTAATTACTTATATAACTTAACGCTACGATCAGTAGAAGCGGAGCATCAATGAAAAATGCTGCGAAAACGGGAAATGAATGAAATGAAATGATGGACATAGCAGGTTCTGTTTCGGTCTTCTCTCTATGTAAGCGTCATTAAAGAGGAACTTTTTTAAATATCATATGAAAATCGAGTTCTTACTGTCATCTCATAAGGGGACAACCACGAGGTGTGTGTATTCCGCAAAAGAAATATCTTCGCAATTTCTACACGAAAGATCTCGTATCTTTCGTTGGTGTTATGCTTCAATTATACTATTACCTTGTAATTCCAATGCAGGCCATTTACCTACTAGACTAGACCCTCTCAGTCCTGTAACAATGTAACATACTATAAAACTACCACTAACACGCAATCACAAACAGTTCCATGGTAATAAATGATCCCATTGCAGTAATCACTGCTCCTCATCTGTTCCGTAACCCTCTCAAGTTAACAGCCATAGTCGTCAAGAGCCGAACGACATTCACATTACGTCGTCGGGGCCTCTACGACCGGGAGCGATTATCTTAAAGTTAACCCGTGTAGGACGACCGTTACGATCCTTATTTGCGGTAACACGGAATTGTGGACATTCAATGCTCCTTTACTTGTATTGAGAACGCAGTGGAATTAGCACACTATATCGTGCAATAAAAGAAAACTACCGTTATCGAATATTATAAAAATGACTTGTTTACATTGGTATCTAGACAGCTTCACGCCTTAATACGAGGTAGCAGTGCTGCATAATGATCGATACATTTTACAAATGTCATTATTGAAAGTTTTAAAGATTTGTAAGCATGCCGCGTCGGCCGTGTTGCCGTATGTTTTATAAGCAATAGAGATGTTGACGGGGTAAAGTAAACGAATTTGTATTCAGTCCTTAAATTACATTATCATTTTTTTCATGTTAAACAATCAAAAAATTACAAAGATAAAACGCGTCAAAGTTTGGGAATGGGGGCTCGTGATGTCACTTCTAAGTAACAATTGTACAAAGACTGGTGTTAGTCTTTGTACAATTTCAGCTCAATATTCTTATCTCTGTTATGTTTTAACTATGTGAATAGAGAAAAAATACGTGTCCAATACGTTGTGATAATCTTCCTAATTGAAAAAGAAAAAAAGATAGTCATCCTTCCATCTTAAAAAGTAAAGAAAATAGCGTACGAATTGAATTACATTTTGTATTTATTAAATAATATTGATTTTATAAACATAAATTAATATTTATTAATTTTTTTATTCGAAAAGCCAAAAGATAAGTATTTTACTTAGGTACTTTTTCCAGCTGAAGCCATCGCTTGAACGTAATTTTCCCCTGCACATACCTCCTGGTTCAGTATACGAATAGAACTATTTAGAAGACCACTCTCGTAGTCACTCATGGGCATATTTCCACAAACCCTGATTATACCTTGTGGTCCAATAATAGTGGGTCCTGAAAAAAATCTAGTGCCGAAATGTGGATTCGCAGAGTAACAAGTGACAACAGACTCATAGCCACATAGAGCGGTTACCATTCTATCAGCAAACTCGGCTATAGACCAAGCCATGCACAGAACTGAAGTGTCCTTGCCGCGTTTGTGGTTCAATATATCTGTGCCAGCTTTCCTCAAGAGTCTTGTCAACGTCTCTGCCTTACAAGCGTCTACACAAAAACTTGACGGTACTAAGTTTGAAAACAGAGGCACTATTGTCTCTTCAGAATGTCCACCGATCACTGGCACTTGTAAATAATACGGACTCACTTTCAGAGCATTTGCGGCAAAGTTTCTACATCTCGCTGTATCGATGTGCGTTATGCCGCATATTTTATAGGGATTATAAGTTCCATAGCTGAACATCAGAGTGCTCACAAAAGGAATGATGCAATTGATTGGATTTGTAGAGAAAGCCAAAATCGCATCTGCGTTATGATTCGATACGACTTTGCACAATTTTTGCACAGCGGGTGCGTTAGCTGCAAGCATCTGTTCTCTTGTGGTGCCGAGTTTCCGTGAAGTCCTAGCGACCATCAAAATTAAATTGGAGTTACGAACGGCAGATGGCAGGTAGTTGTCTCCTGTAAATGGCAAAACTTTTGATCCCTTGTTGATATAAGACAGTTCTAAGCCCACTCCCATTACTTTTTCGTCATCGTCGTACAAATGTAGCCTTGATATTTTCGGATTTTGTGTCAATAACAGAGCGACATTAGATCCTATTGGGCTAGCAGCTCCAATAACTGAAACCTGAATTTTTCTCTGTTGCACATATTTAATGTTTTTTAGGCTGTTCTTTGATAATAAACTCATTATTAATCCACGGGAAATCATCTTACTTGAGTTTTTTGTCTAGAGTCAAAATTTCCATTCATGATTTAAGCTCCTCAATTTATTTTTCGTCTTTCATAATATTTGCGACCGTGTTTGTTTGAAATGCTGAAACCAAAATATTTACCTACAGTATTTTTAGGAAAGATGATGTCCTCATCTCAGCCATTATTGGTTTATTGTTAAAGGTTGTTGACATATAAACTGCCAAACAAACGCCAAGATAAATGTACTCCCATGGTATCTACTCCCAGAATTGCAAGATTCTGCACATTGAATTTATATACTTAAGTAGATTTTATTCTGAGCTGCGAATATTCATAAATGATCCCACGGACCAGAAAAAAAGAATGATCGATACAATTTTCTTCTTTCATTTTATTTGTACTGGTTTCAAATAACGTTGCTGGACACAATAGTCAGAGAAATAAATGCTGTCACAAACCCAATGTCAAAAATCATCAAAATTACAAAAACATCTTAAAATTTATGAACAGCCTTATTTATCGATTACTTTTCTAAATCTACTGAGTGACTAAAAACCATTTAAAATGCAAGTATCAAAGAAACTTTTTACTTCGTTGATGTCACAAGTGGTAACCACAATTACAAGGAGTTACAGAGTGACTGTTGTGGGAGGTTCAAGTGAACTTGGACAAACGGTATGTCTGCTGTTACGAGCTCAACCTTCGATCACCAGGCTAAACGTTCACGACACTCTGATTCAAACACCAGGGGTTATATTAGATCTATCGCATATTCCAGCAGAATCGTACCTAAAAGGTTATGTCGGAGAAGAGACCTTAGAGAGAGCATTAAAAGGTTCAGACATTGTAATAGCCGCCGGAGGACTAGTCAACCGACCAGGTATATCAAACGAGGCATGGATGGCTACAAATACAAATTTTATAAAAATGCTCGTTCGCAAGGTAGCGAAGATATCTCCTTTACCAATGGTTGGAATTCTCACAGACCCGGTGAATGTTCTTGTACCCATGGCAGCAGAAGTCATGAGAAATAGCGGGGAGTACGACGCCAAAAAGTTGTTTGGGATCACAACTGTGGACCATCTCAGAGCGCAATCCTTATACGCTACAGAAAACAATTTGCCAGCACGGGGCTGCATAGTGCCTGTTATTGGTGGACGATCGGGGAAAACGGCGATTCCCCTACTGTCTCAGGCCAAGCCAAAATGCCAGATGAACGAGAAAGCTATCCAGGAGTTTACGTCGAAGTTTCAGAAATGCGATGAAAACATTAGGGAGGCAAAGAAAGGTTGGTCGGCCTCGTTGTCTGTTGCTTACGGCGCGCTAATGTTCACTCGCTCCATAATCGACGCTCTGGACGGACGACCGGCCAAAGTGGCTGCGTTTGTGGAAAACAACGACTTCGGTAGTCATTACTTTTCGGGCACTATCAACATTAACCACCATGGCGTTACCGATATGCAGAGGTTCACTGACCTATCTGAATACGAATGCCATTTACTCGAACGCAGTATCGCGCAAATTAGACAAGACGTTTTAAAAGGAAAGAAGATTTTAGAGCTGGCGTAACTTATTTTCGTCTGTACCGTTCCATTTCTTCGCGTTCTTTAAAGTGATATTCAAAAAGAGAAGAAAAAAATAGTTATCAGTAATTAAAACTTATTTATTTACATTGTTTTTTACAAAGATCTTAACACTAGCAACTAAAGAAAAAACATTATATCACAGAGAACAATTAAATTAGAAATTCATTTAAGTTTTGACTATGAAAATAAGAAATATTTTGATAATTACTCATTCTAAACTATAAAAATCGGTGAACACCTTTTTGGCCAATCATTTATTTATTTTATCTTTAACAATTGCCAAGTAATTACAAATAAGTAAATGGTAGACAATGATATGCTCGTAGAGTTACGAACTTAGGTTCGAATTGTTTTTGCAAATACTTATGAGTCAAAACCATACAAATACTGACAAGTTACTTTTAAAGTTAAAACATCATCATTTTGAAATAACATAAGTGTAATCGTGACAATTTAAATAAGTAGTTTCATTAATAAGTATTCAAATAAAAATCAACCTGCAAAACACGAGCGTTTATTAACAGTTCTGAATTTAGGCTAACACTAAAGCCTGCGACTTCGCTCGCCGGCTCATGAACGATCTCTTTGTAGTTCAAAAATCTCTAATGATTAGATGTGCCCTTCCTGTGTGAGTAATGGTCGTAGCAGATATAGAAAGGGATCGTCAGCGTATCAACTCGAGCCATTGCTTTAATTTGCGACACATCTCCTCCAAACAATAAATATTTCTAACAATCACACCAATTATCCTAGCCCCAAAGAAATATGATTTGAACATTCGTCTTGCAATAAGGTCGAAATCTCTTAATCAAAATAGAGTTGAAACGTCCAGTACAAATATTTTCTAATTTAATATTAAATTAGAAAATATTTGTACTACAGAAACGACTTTATGGCATGATTCTCTAAAGCTGGACTTAAATTTGATAACAGTGTATCCTTGTCATTCTCTATACAGAACGAAAAGGACATACTGATGTTAAATTTAGTTTTAAGTTTAGAGAATCACGCCAGAATCGACACCAATGTAAGCAAGGGTACGAGATAGAATACTGATACATGGATAAGTGTATTTATCTAGAAATACATATAAACATGCATAATTTAGGTACATATGCTCGTGTTCATCATAGCAACATTATCCCCACCAGGATTCGAACCCAGTACCTCTGACTAAGCGACACCTTGCAATCCGACATACACACTAACACTCAGATATTAGGTCATAAGCTAGCCTGTTTGCTGTCCGATATTCAACCTTCCTTATTATCAGCCTATTAATGGCCCCACTGCTGGGGCATAGGGCTTCCCTATGTGTGTAATAGGGATATTGGGCGATAACGCGGGTCCGCTGCGGATTAGAAATTATTTGAAATTTTGATATTATTCTTGTGATTGTGACTATTTAATTTGATTATCATATTTTTTCTATCTCTGTATGTAATATGGGTACTAGGCCTGAAATAAATGATTATTATTATTAGTGGGTGCTGACGACTGCAGATGCAGCCGCGCTCATCGGCTTAACGTTCCTTCCGAAGCACGGAGGAGCACGAAACAAATTAAAGCACACAAAATAATAATCGGCAGGAACACAAATTAATTTATTATGATACAATTATAAAAACTAACCGACCCTTTGTAAGATTCAAATTCCCATCTAGATAATAAAAAAAATTGGGAAATATTATATTATAAATTCATTTAAAAATACCGCACTTATTGAATACTCTGTGAATAATCATTCTTATATCCCGAGTACCCATTGATCATTTGTTTTAATTATTAAAAATATCTCAACTGATTGTTTACACTCTTCTTATTCATTTTACAAAACATATAATATTTCTCTCCTATTTATATCTAACACGAATACAAAGCTAATGATAATAACGTTACCACAAAATTATGTAAAACAATCACATTTCTATATCTCTTACAATTTGATTAAAAACAAACTACTTTTTCTGGACCCCCCAATTTGGGGGAAAATTCATCTGAATCATCATATAATTATTATAATTAAAAATAATGCAATACAAACTAGTGGCACGAATTCTTTAACAATACCTTAAAACTATTGCCCTTGCAGAATTCTTTACACTGTCACTACCATCGAAGAACTAGTTATCCAAGATGCAGAGAAACTGTCAGGTCCTTCCGGCTGTAACAAACAATTTTAATATATGAACCCCGAAACTAAGTGAGGTAGGGCGTATCGGATATTCCGCTCGAATTGGAACCATACAGGTATAATAATAGAGTATAGACCTAATACAAGTGGAAGTGTTCCTCTAATAGAAAGAGAAAGAAGATGAGAGACCGCTACCTTTCTCTCTCTAATCGCGCACGCGCATTGGTAACCGTAAGCATCTTATTAATTCGATGTGATGCTTGGACCAACTATTGGACAGACGACTGCGCATGCGTCACAAGAGAGAGAGAGAGATAGCTAGCGGTTTCTTATCTTCTTTCACTTTCTACTCGACGGACACTTTTAGAGCCGCCTTCCCCACTCTATTCTTATACCTCTATGATTGGAACGCCCGTCTGGGGAAGTAACGCCACCTTACAGAAGACCTCAGTAAAATAACACTACTTTTTGTTAGTGCTTTGTTTCTGTCGGTAAGATAAAAGGGCTTCACGGTGCAGGGGATTGGGTCGGGTAAGCAACGACGCGAGTCATATTTTTGGTACTGTAAGGGTTAAATACCCTAGATGCACCACGTCATGCAAAATGTGTCCCAATCAAGAAGTGCTTGAACTCCGCTCAAGCACTTCCTGGTTCACAATCACGAGTGGACCGTTGAAAAGTCAACATGCCTCAGAGCTCCGTGAAATAATGCGAAAAAATTACTTGCAGTATTTATAGTGTCGTTTTTTCGACAGATATCTAATCAATGCTGTCATAGATGTAAGGGATTATGAAAAAAATAAATAAAAATAATGAATTCTGGCATGATTCTCTAAACTTAAAACTAAAGGACATTGTTCTGCGTCCATACATAGAACCAACAATCATGAAATATTATTTTCTAGGTTCGAAATCGCAAGTAAATGACTGTAAAAACAAAGATCATTGACGGACACTTCTGAGAACTTAAATTATTAGGAAAACTAAAATTTTCTTGAGGTTATGTTTAATATTAAATGAAACATAGGTCAACCTATGAACTTAGTATGAACTCAGTATGAACTCAGTATGAAGTGAATTAATATTACAACTAATTCATTTTATTCGGTGCGATTTTAAAGAATAACTATTAGAAAAAACTTGGTTAGGTAGTGTTACGTATGAGCGTGTGAATCAAAAGACAGCTTATTGCGTACTCCTTTTATTCCAATGAACGTTGCGGGACGCAGCCCTTAAATACCCACATATGTAACATCCCTCCACCATAATTACAACAATATATAATAATAAGTTTTTAGAAAAACTGCTTATAGTTAACGGGGGGCCGATTACGACGAGATTTGCCAGTCGGATTAGTCGGGTCCGGTGATGCGATAGGTGAAGTATACCGTTCGGGCGGAGTTCGCGGCGCTGTGTGTCTCTGTAGCCTGCGCCCGGACCTCAAGGTTACGTTGACGGCACTCTGCGCCCAGCTGACCTTCGCGTGTGTAGTAGCCGCGGCCTCCGCTCCCGTTCCCTCTTCGCCGCGCGTCGTCGCATGCGCAGGCGCAGTGGCCGGCGTGCCCGGTGTCGATGGTTGCGGGTTCGAAGTGTTGTTTGCAACATCTGGTACATTGTCCAAATTCCACGTTGGCTCGACTGGTTCACCATAAAACGGTCTTATTTGATTCTTATGCCGAATAACATATTCGTCCGCTTCTGGTACATATATCCTGAACATAATATTTCCAATTTTTTCTACTATAGTACCTTCCAACCAAATATATTTTTTGTTATTTATATATCGCTTTATCATTACTTTTTCCGGTAAATCTCTCGTCGAACGGCCGCCATAGTATTTAGTCTGTAATAATTGTTTACGATGTACAGTCGAGGAAACGTCAGTCGATGAGAACTGTTTGGAAATTGGGTTAATTAAATCCAATCTACATTTTAATTTACTTCCATACAGTAATTCGGCTGGTGATCGACCAGTCGTGCTGTGAGTTGAATTACGGTAGTAAAATAAAAATTTATTTATTTTATTTTTCAAATATTGTCGATTATTACATGATAGGATAATGCTTTTTATACCCCTTTTTACTATTTTTACTGCACTCTCGACATGACCGTTACTACTGGGATGATAAATCGGAGACAACACATGGCGTATGCCGTTTAATTTACAAAATTGTTTAAACTTTTCCGAAGTGAAAGAAGTGCCGTTATCACTAACGATAATCTCGGGAATACCTACTCTAGACATAACTTCGTACAGACGTTCGATCACCGCGTCCGTTGTGGTGTTCGAATTCATACAAAAACATTCCACCCATTTAGTATACGAATCAACCAATATTAAATACATTTTGTCATTTAAAGGACCTAGAAAGTCTATATGTATCCTGTAAAAGGGATGCGACGGGTATGGCCAGGGCGAGAGGGCGGCGCGGGGGGGCGACGGTCGCAGCTGTGCGCAAACGTCGCACGCGCGCGCCGTCGCCTCCAGCGCCGCGTCGATGCCCGGGAACCACAGCCGAGAGCGCGCTTCACTTTTCATTTTGGCTATTCCAAAATGTGAACTATGTAGCTCTTGAATAACTTGGTCCCGTAGGTTGCCTGGTATAACAACTTTATGTCCCCGCATCAAACAACCTTTTTCAATCGATAATTGCGACCTGCATAAAAAATAAGGCTTAATATTTAAATCTGTGACTTTGCGGGGCCATCCTGTTAATATATAACCTTTAACCTTCTGTAAGGTAGCGTCGCCTATGGTGGCCTCCCGTATTTGAGTTAACGTGACAGGTAAATCGCCTTCTACCACAAAGTTTATATAAGCCGCACGATCCTCACATTCTCTCGCCTCC